TTGTGACCGCGAAGCTGCTTCTATTTATCTGTTACTTTGCAGTAAAATGGCCACTTAGCCTTCAATTTAAAGATGATTTCAGAATGTTTTACCAAAATAGTTCAGTTCTGGAGGAACAAGACATTTTCAGGAACTAAATAACTAAAGATAAGTACCAAACCGATGAAACAGGTAGACGAAGTGCGGGAATTGTGACTGCTTTCTGCAGTAGAGACTTTCATCAGAGAATCATAGAATGGTAGGGTTTGGAAGAGACCTCTGGATCATCTAGTCTAACCCCCTGCTAAAGCAGGTTCACCTAGTTCAGGTTGCACAGGGTTGTGTCCAGGCGGCTTTGCAAGTCTCCAGAGGAGGAAGGAGGAGGCTCCACAGGCTCTCTGGGTAGCCTGTTATTCTGCTCCATCACCCTCACAGCAAAGTTTTTCCTTATGTTTAGGTGGAACTTCCTGTGTTCTAGTTTATGCCCGTTACAACTTGTCCTATCACTGGGCACCACTGAAAAGATTCTGGCCCCATCCTCGACTCTTGCTCTGTAGATATTTATAAGCAATGATAAGATCCCCTCACAGTCTTCTCTTTTTCAGGCTAGACTCAGGTTTCTCAGCCTTTTCTCAAAAGAGAGATGTTCCAGTCCCCTAATCATCTTTGCTGCCCTCCATTGGACTCTTTCGAGTAGTTCCTTGCCTCTCTTGAACTGGGGAGCCCAGTTCAGCTGGACATAGTACTTCAGATGTAGTCTCAGTAGGGCAGAATACAGGAGGAGGAGAACCTTACATGCTACACACAGACTAAGTGACTTAAGCTTTTTATTGCTATTTTTATTTTGATAGTTGTATTCTGATGGCTCTAACTTTTTATTTTTCTGTCTCAGAAACTTGAAGCTGACATTCTTGATGCCAAAGCAAGCAAGGAACAAGCTCTTCAGGAGTTACAGGAGCAGCGACAGCAGTTTACAGAATTAGACCTGCGAGCAGTAGAACTGAGTAAACAGCTTGAAGCAGCAAGAGAAGCGTATGCATTTCCTGTGTGATACTACTTTTCACAGTCAGACATAATACTACAGTGGTTTGGACTAGAGTTGAAATTTTGTTCTCCTCTCCTGTGATGTCTTAAAATCATAGATAAGTGATGTCTTCCCTCTGCTACAAGAACTGAGTATCCCACCTGTTTTCTTCTATATGCCATGCAGTCTCCATCTGCTGTGTTCGCATGTGAACCACTGACAGCTGTGATTCAATGGACTTCTTCAATTTATTCAGTGTGCTTGTTGTCAGCTAAATATCTGAACAGTTTGATGTTATGAGGTCCATCTTTAAATATGCATAGTAAATTTTTTCAAAGACTAATTTTCAATTTATGCATAAGCAGCAACAGGGTAGTGTCTGTTCGTTATAGTTGGGAAAGGAAAATCCATGTCAAAGTAGTTTTTGGAACTGCTGGTACATCTTCATTGGAGATAAAAAATGCCCCTGCTCTGGATTGAAAAAAGTATGCTTTGAAGTAGTTCTACAGTTAATATATTAAATAATAAGAGACTTTAGATGATATAAAAGAACTCATGAAGAAGAATTAAAAAAATACATATTTTTTTGTATTTGCAGGATGTCTAATGCTAAATTGGATTTGCGGAAGAAATCTGAGGCCCTTGAACAAGCAAAACAGCAAATTTCAGAGCAGGAGGAGGAGAAGGCCAGCCTCAAACAAAACCTTGAGAAATCATGTCAAGATACAAGTAAACAACTCAAGGAATTAAACTGTAAAATGCAAGCAATATCATCAGAATTGCAACAAGTGAAATTAGAGAAAGATACTCTATTAAAGGACCTTACAGCTACCAAAGACAAGCTCTCAAAAAGTTCTGAATCCTTCAAAAAAAGAAAGGAGGAATTAGAAAAGGAAATACAAAAAGGAAAAGCAGCTGTGGCAGAAATGGTTAGTAGTTTAATTAGACACTGTTTGGTGTATTTACAGTCTGATAGATTTACAGTCTGGTAAACAGATTTTGATTTTTAGACGTTTATGCACATATCCCGCCTTAAATTGTTGTCTGGATGTTTACAGTAGTAAACATCAGTTGTACTACACAACAGTATCTCTTTTGCCTGCTACGTACCTTTAATGTGGTGAAGAAACTAAATGGAGACAAGTGATGAAACAATTTGATAGGAAACATCCCCCTTTCTAAAAATACATCAGCCTTATTGTAACAACGCAAAGTTATAAGCCCTTTGCTAAAGTGACACTGTATTGAAGATGATGTTATTTTTCTGAGGCTGTTTTCGTTGCCCTTCTGGAGTCTTTGTATATTAGAACCTTCCTGTGCACTTGTCTGGACATGCTGGAAGGCTGCATACTCCAGCTAGAGTAACATCGTCTCTCCTCTGGGGACATGCTTAGCTTAGGGTATTATCAGAGCACTAGAACTACTTGAATTTCAGAAAGGTCTCATAAGTGGCAGGATAACAAGTGTTTGACCACCAGTCAAGCTGTTGTAGTAACAAAAGCGATCTCTCACTAGCCTTAAAATACACCTTTTTCTTCCTTTTTCTGCTTTGTTGCTAATATGAATGGGCACTGTATGAATACATATTTTATAGACTTTCTTATACAGCTGTTCTGACACCCCTGCCTCAGACATGGTAGGAGTGTCTTTCTCATTCCCTTCGTGTCTTATGTCACCATTTCCTCAGAACTGCTTTTATTCTGATTTAAAAAAATTCTCATACCTAAAAATAACATTTTTTCCTTTACTCTTTCACCTTTTTAATATAAGCCTTTTTATTTGCTTTACTTAGTTACTCTGGTTTAAAATATCTGTTTCTCTTAAAAATTTGAAGTATTTTCTCCCTAATTTAGTCTTAAAGGTAGGAGTCCAGATTCCGCTTCTAGTTCTGTAGTCATTTGGAGGCTTGCCACTGTCTTAAGTGCATGGTATTTGGGCTTAAAATGTAGTTGTATTTGCATACAAGTCACACAAATGTACTTGCTTGTGACTTCTAGAATATCAAGAAATTTTGGATCCTGAGAAGACCAATGAGCCTACTGCTTACCACAAGGAGATGGGCTGCCAACAGCAGCTTCATAGAGGGAGACTATCCCTAATCAGAAAAACTCCTTGGCACATGGCTGAACTTTTTAGGACATGGTATCAGCTATGTTCAGCTTAGATTTACCACCTAAAAACTTGGAAGTTTTGGGCTGAAAATGTCTGCCACTGAGAAGGAAAGCTTTTTCACTCAAATGGAAAGCATTATTTTTCAAGGCTTTGTAGATCCTGCAGAAGTACCTTGCACCCGGTCTTAGAAGCTCACAGGAATATTTTCTTGTTTTTTTTTTTTTTTTAGGAAAAATCTTATCAAGAAGTAAAACACCAACTCCAGGTACAAACAGAGTCTGTAGCTGAAGAGAGGAATGAATTGAAAAGCTCACTGGAAAAAAAAGAGGGGGTAAGGTGCCCACTTAGTTTCAGAAATCTAGGAACAAATAATAATAAATGTTTAAGATATTTGTTTTCAGTCTCACATGCTGGGACTGATGAGAGATAAGGAGGTTGCAGTTCTCAGATTTAATCTACCTGGGGCACTGAAATAAAATGATACAAAAAAAAAAACCTCCTGGATGTTAATAAGAAGCTTAAAAATAGGTTTTACTCCTATCCTTCTGTGCTCCACATACCTTAGTGGGGGATTCTAGTCCTTCATGTTTCTCATTAGTGAAACAGTTATTTGGTATTTTTTGGTCCTCATTTTTTTCATAATTTCATACAATAAAAGTTATCTCCCATTGTTAGATCTATTTTAGTTTCAGGGCTAATTGTTGCCTAAGTGTTGTTGGACAGGACATTTTCAGGATCGTTTTCAGGACCAAGTATAGCTTGGTCTCTGTCAGAGGAAGTAGATGCCTACAGAAAAGGGAGGGCAAGCCTTTCAGATTCCTACAATCAGGGGATTCTCCCCAACTTCTAGCATTTGTTTGGGTGCTGATTTCCTGAAGCTGTATCTTCAGCTTTAATTGCTTTGATCAGTTTTTCATTTGTGAAATTATCTGTTTGCTTTTTGAACTACATGATTTGTCATCCACACAGTACAATGGGCAGTTTCACATCCTACAGCATGTACAAAGTGATTTAAATTAAAATTATACAGCTATTTAATATTTTTGAATATAGATTTCTAAGCAGTTGTCGATAGAACTTGATTCAGCACGAGCGCAAGTCCTGGAAATTCAGGGTCTTCTGAAGGAGAGAGAAAAAAGCGAGCAACATCTCCAGGGAAGGCTGAGGGAGTTAAAGGAATCTTTTGAGCAGAAGAAAAAACACAGTGAGACGCTGCAAGTTGAATTAAAAACTGCCCTTTTAGAAAAGGTAAGACTGGCCTCTCATACTACTTTATGAAAATTAATGTAAATTTCTCTGATAAATGGTGCAGCTTCTGTGTTAATATCTTTGTGATAAACAGCTGTTTCCTCTAGTCTTGTTGGAAATTATGAGGTCATGATGTGGAAACATGGTCTTCAGGTGTTGTTGAAGATAGAGATAGTATCATCAGCAATAAGAATAAAAATAAAATAAAAAGAACCAGTGTTGAAATATGAATTCGGTAGGAATTGAATTTTAATAAAGTGATAAAACTGGCTAGATTGAATATATTTTGCTTCAGGGGCATGCTGTGATGCAAGAGCTGCTGTTTTCTTGTAAATCAGTGGAATTTTGTGAGAGTAGTTTGGACAAACTTTGCAGTGTTTTGCAACGTCCATGGCAATTTTAAACAAAGTCTTCTCTTATTCTACCAAAAGAATTTATCTGAGTGACACTATGAAACTCATAAACCATCATGGAAAGAGTTCAAATGTCTTACAGCATTAGGGAATATTGTTCTGTGTGCCATGCACTGTTAAGTGTTGCTCCAGCTTTGGCTGCTGTATTCTACGTGATCATATTTGTCCTTTAGTCAGTCCGTGGAAACTTTAGAACTTGGAGACATTTAGATTTTTCGTGTTTGGTCTTAATGTGCTTTACTTAGTCTTTTGGCATGAATTTAATTTTGTTGTTAAATTAGTTACAAAATATTATTAATATCCCAAACATTAGGTTATTGAACTGCTATTTCATAAGTGGAAAAAAAAAAATCTCATCTTGCAGTGGAAGTACAGTTTATTGAAATGATTAAGCTTACTTTACTATCTGTAATTTTAATTGAAACTTCCTATGCTTATATTTCAGGCAGAACTGGAGAATAAACTGCAACAGCAGTCTATTTTGTCAGCACAGGAGCTTAAAACAGAGAAAGTCAAGGTAGCAGACTTACAGAAGACCAGTGAAAAACATAAGGAAAACTTGGAGAAGCTGCAGCTGGACCTTTATGGGAAGGAGTCTGAGCTGCTGGCAACCAGGCAAGACCTCAAGGTGCTTACATCCATTTTAATGTCATATGTAACTTAAAAGATCTGTTACATCTATTTTGGAAGACCAAGAAGCAGTGCAAGAACTGTATAGGTTGAAAAAAGTTCTTCTGCTATATATAGAATTTAGTGCTATTCAGTCTCTTCCCCTAGGACAAAGGACATCCTGAAACTGATTTAAAGCCAAGGGTGTTTGCCACTTTACCTGAAATACCCTCGCATTTGTGCAGTAACGAAGTAAAAGATTATTTATTTTTGTAGTCTTTTAAAAGTTAATTTTTTGTGTTGCCTTTTTTGGTTGAATGTTGTAGCTTTCAGCTAGTTTAAACAGCATAGCTAATTAAGGCAAAGTCTGACAGCATATAATTGCTATCTTCTAGATGATTGAATTAGAATTTTAGTTGTCAGTCTTTTCCCATGTCCTTACCCATTTTGCTTCTTTCTGGCTGATTGTAGACATTTGGTGATGTCAAACTAATAGGAACAGTAGGTTTAGAGACCCATCTGGAAGACAACTGTGCGAATTTACTCTTTGCAGTTTTTGCTATTTGTCAGCTGAATTTATCTGATTTGATATTAGGGTGTAGTGCCTTCAAAGAGGTGTTGTTGGGAGTTGAGTCAGTCACCAAAGGTGCTTTTTGTCCTTTTTTCTGCCCCCATCCTTCATGTCAGTGCTAAGCCAATACTCCAGTTAGTCCCAGGACATACTGTGCTGCAGACTGGCTGTCTACTGGCGAGATATGTAGCTTTGGCACTTTTCACTTCAGACGAATCCCACTGCAGCTTTGTCTGTGTCTGTCTGACATTGTTGTTCTAGGCTCCACTGAAGTTTATGGAGAGAAATAGCTCTTGGGGAGGACAGATCATCTGATCTGTTTTAGATGTCAGTTTCTGTTTGCTTGTTTATGTGTAAAGGGAGCCTTTCTTAGATTTCATTGCTCCTTTTCACCTGTTCCAGGAGGTGCCTTTCAGTCCCACCACTGGAACCATTGAAGGTCTGTGGCCATTTCAGATAGGCCTGTGTAAGCTGTGGAGCCCTAGCCAAACTCCACGTTCAGGGTTATTTTAAGAAAGGGAGAAATAGCTCCTTTACGTATAGGCCATTGGAGTTCTATTAATCATCTTCCTCCTCCTCTGTAGCATTAGGTTACCTCCTGTGCTTCCCTGCAGGTTACAGAAGCTTCACTTTCAGTGTAGCTTGATTGAATTACTACGTTGTATTGTGAAGAACTTCAGCAGGGTTAGCAAGCAAGGGTGGTATGAACATACTCTTTCTTATGATTAGTTACTCTAGCATGCCTGCTGCTGTGAGTTAATTTCCTGCAATGCATTTAGAGCAACAGTTGGAAATGCAATGACCTGTGAAAAGCATTGGATGTGCTCAGTAACTGTGGGTTTTGGTGTAGTTTTCATTTAAGTATTGCTTGTTGCAAAAATATCTCTGAATATTATTAAACCAGATTAATGACCTCTAGTTCTGGCAAGTGTAAAGTAGGACAGTAGGTGTCCCACATGCTTTTAAACTTGAGTGGGGGTGGTAGCAGGATGGAGAGGACATCCATGGAAAAGGTAAAATAAGGTGATGGCAACAGGAAAACATTTTCAAGCTGAGCAGTTAGGTAACTTGATTTATTATGTCAGTGTCTGCAGAACATAGAGAGCCTGAGAAGGACTTTTGTCCTTAGTACTGAAGTGATGTTGCTGCTTAGAGATGGAGTGCTTAATTGAAAAAAAAAAAAAATTAAGCACACATTAATTAGGATTAGTGAGGTCAGCTTGCCACCACTTTTTTTTTTTTCTGTAAAATGTAGAAGAGGGAAAAGGTGGGGGCCTGATCTTTAATTGTGGCTGTGCTGCCTCCTTGCAGCGTTAACTTAAAGAAGCAGTGATAACTTGTCTTAGAAGGCCAGAAAGGAAGAAGCACATTCAGAGAGCCTCAGTGTGATAATGTTAGTCTTGAAAGCTGAATATCAAAGTGCCACTCAAGTCAGAAGGTCTTTATGGTAGAATTTCACAGTCCAGTTCAAAGTCAGTCATCTGGATTGTCTTTTGCCTTGAGAGAGTTACTTAAGAAAACTAGATAATGTGAGCCAGAGTTATGGGCTTTGATTAAATGTTTGGAATGAAAACTGATGTGTGGGCTGGGGTTCAGACTGGTATAACTCTTATTAGCAGACAATAGTAGAAGTTTTTAGAACTTGTATGTAAGGTGAGCTTGGATGTCTTTCAGTGCAGAATTTTTAGTGTAGGTCTGGACTCCCTGCACAGCGTGCTGAGTCAGCACAGTTTGAAGCCCAGTATTGTCCAGGACGGGTGTGGCCAGGCTGTATCATGAGATCCTAGCAATGCTAGGTTTTCTTTAGTTAAAAATACTACAAGGGGAGACGTAAATATTCTCACGTGGTGTAGCCCCTCGCTAGTGCTGAGGCCAAGGCTTCAGGCGTGGGGCTAGATCATGAAAGGCAGTAGGGCGTATGGGTTGTATTCCCTAGTGGCCAAGAAGGCCAATGGCATCCTGGGGTGCATTAGAAAAGGTGTGGTTAGTCGGTCAAGAGAGGTTCTCCTCCCCCTCTATTCTGCATTGGTGAGGCCGCATCTGGAATATTCGTGTCCAGTTCTGGGCCCCTCAGTTCAAGAAGGACAGGGAGCTGCTGGAGAGCGTCCAGCGTAGGGCTACAAAGATGATTAGGGGAGGGGAGCATCTCCCTTATGAGGACAGGATGAAGGGAGCTGGGTCTCTTTATCCTGTAGAAAAGGAGGTGTGACCTCATCAATGTTTACAAATATGTAAGGGGTGAGTGTCAGGAAGATGGAATTAAGCTTTTTTCAGTGATGACCTGTGATAGGACAAGAGGTAATGGGTGCAAATTGGAGCATAGGAGGTTCAAGGTGAATATCAGGAAAAATGTTTTTACTGTGAGGGTGACAGAGCACTGGAGCAGGCTGCCCAGAGAGGTTGTGGAGTCTCCTTCTCTGGAGACATTCAAAAACCGCCTGGACGCCTTCCTGTGTGATGTACCCTAGGTGACCCTGCTCTGGCAGGGGGGTTAGACTAGATGATCTTTCGAGGTCCCTCCCAACCTCTATGATTCGGGTCCTGGGTAGGTCTGGTCCCTGGGAGGGAATGGCAGGAGCTGCTGGGCTGTACACAGAGCACCATCTGCTGGCCTGTGCTCGCTGACATTGCGGGCTGGGAGGCTGAGGGGTGCTGGAAAGCCAGCAAAAGCTTCGGTGGCGGTTTGTGGTTGCAGATACAGCACTGGGTAGGAGAGGGCATGGAGTGCGCAGCTGCCCCCGCAGTGCCATCAGCACGGCTGGGTCCCGGGATGGCGTTCACCTGCAGAAGATCCTACCTACCTAGCTGCACCCAGATACAAACTTTGAAGCTGTAAGTCTTCTCAGGGGAAAAGTGAGAAGTGTTGTTACCAAACCAGCAGTGAGAATGTCCTTATAATTTTATGAATAGTAATTGCTGCAAATTTACTTTGGTTTTTGGTCTGTAACAGTAGCCATCCTCATACATTTTTGTCTCGACTGGAAAAAGAAATTGAGTAGGAATTGACTGCTTGTAAAAGCTATTGGTTTTGATGTATGAATGTATATGTAATAAAAAATAATACCACTGAATATTTTTATATGTCTATATACAGATAAATAAAAATACATATGTGTGTATATAATATATACATATTTTTTGTATATACACACACAATTTATTTTTTTTGTGGAAAAGACTTTTTTTTTCCCTGTGGAAGAGTTAACAAAAATTACTGTTAATTTTGCCTTGATTTTGAGTTACGACAAACATACTTTGTGTGGAGCCTGCTCTCCTGAGCTCTGCCAAGTATCCTTCAGTCTTGGCACTTGTGCTTTTTGTAGTCAGTCCTGGTTTCCTCTGTGTTCTCAAAAAAATGTTTCTTTGCCTCCAATATTGGCAATACTCATGATGCATCTTCAGTGGATGCTCTGGGACAGTCTTCATACTGCCAAACCTCAGGTCTGTAAGTCAGGAGCCTAAGCTGCATACAGTCAGTCTAACCCTTTTTCTTGGAAGTGTAGAAGGATCACAGACTGAAATACTCATTTGTGCACGTTATTCAAACGGAGTGAGTCCAGATCCTACCACCCAGCTAGGCCCAGTTCTGCTGTTGGCACTATTATTTGCACTGCAATGCCCAAAGTTGTAGTGAATCAGACTTTGATATTTCCTTATATTTTTATTTATTTATTTAAACGCTGTACAAATCGCCCTAGCGTCTGGTTTTATTTAAAAACTAAATAGAGATTGGTGACTTCTATTCTGTGCCTCTTCCCAGCATTAAGTTTTCAATACCTATCATATTCTGGGAGCAATAGCAAACTTGAATGGTAATTAAATGAGGTAAATGGCATCAGGTGTTTTGAGAGGTGATTTTGTGTTAAAGATGTGAGCTCCTCAGCGGTCCACTGGGATTGGGCTGAATTATACTTTGTGTAATCATCAGTTTTCATCATTCTCTATTAGCGAAGTGCATGTAACCACCTTTTTTCTACTGGAAATGAATTTGAATAAAAGCTGTGCCGCCGTCATGTTTCTGTCTAAAGCTGCAGAGACTATAGAAATTCCCTGTGAAGATGCTATATGTTGACGCTCCACTTACCTTCCTTTCTCAGCGTTAGAAAAATATGGACCTCCACTGCCCACTCTGGCACAAAGAGAGATAATTTTGCTTTCTGAAAGAGTCACCCTGCTGAAAGCTTGAAATTGCAAAAGCACCTCCTTTTGTACTTAAAAAACTTTCTCTAGTTAAAACTGTGTGAAGTGTTAAGTAGTGAACTCTAATAGCTTAGAAAGCAAATAAAATTAATTGTCTACAAATTAATTTTAAAAGTCAGTGTGAGCTTTTTATGGGCCACTGGAGTTGTTGAAAATGCTGTTGAATCGACAGTGTTCCATTGTTGGTGTTTCAAACTAAGTCAAACTACAGGCAAAATACTTTAGACATTACAAGAGAGGATAAGGAGGCATCAGAAAACAGTTTGGTTTTAAATCAGCATGGGAGTGGCTAAAGCATATGCATAATTAAGTCAAAGTTGTGCTTATTGTTCCTTATTTAATATCACTAAACTTCAACAAGAGTTTTGAATAGGATTTATGTAAGAGCTTCAAAAAGAATATGAAAGCATTTAAATCCCTATTGGTGCACTGAAGGTAGTAAACATAATAAATCACCTCACATTCTATATCTTGCCATGAAAAATTTCCATAGAATAGCAATATTCTGGAGGAGTGGAGCATGAGTTTGTTTTTTTTCTTTGTCTTTGGTTCTTTGTGAGCTTCTGAGTAGAACTAGTCCTTGCCTAAGATGAAGGCTTTTGAAAAATAACCTACAGAATACTAGCTCAAGAGGAACCTCAAAGTTTGACTTTGCTGTGAGCAAATAGAACGAGCCTTAGGTACAAGTTTCAGGTTACTTCCTGGGGTTTTGTGACCTGTTGTAGAGACGTAGAACCAAGTTCTTTTTCTAGGTAATGGGGATAGTTGGAGGCAAATTAAAATATGATCTGTAGTAGATTTTGAATGGAAGTTTAAATTTTCTGTTTAAAATGCTGATGCAGCTGGGTCTGTGAAATGTTTTGTCCTGATATTAGCATTTTTAGCTTGTACATTTCACTTTAGGATTTTTAAAAATTTTACAGTTGTCCCAACTCTACCTTCGTCTAAGTCATTGGTGGGAAATAGTGTTGAATGACTTTTGAAATCTTCACAGTATAGCTTCACTGCCTCTTAAGTAACAGATGGTTAGAGTTAGAGAGCGGTTGATTTGCCCAGAAAATAAAATCAAATTATGAGCAAGTTCAGGTTCATTCTTTTTTCATCTGTCACCTTTCATTCTCTGCCCTTTTTTATGTTTTCACTTTTTCTCTGTGGAAGGATGCAAGCTGGAATATGTACAGTAAGGTATTGCTGCTGGAAATGGTACTGGAGGAGTTTCTTTTTACTTAGGGTAACATCATAGCCTAGGTGTTTCTGTAACTGTGCTTCATCAGCATTGGAAGCTGAGTGTTGCACACTAAGTAACAATTTTTCCACGCGGAAATTAAGTGACTGTCGAGTTTCTAAAGCTCCTATACTTGACAGATGATTTGCAGAACTCTCTTTGTAATTAGTCCACAGAAGAAAAACTTGCTCTAGCTCAAGAAGAATTAGTTTCCAGCAGAAATCGAATTGCTAGCAGTAATCAGCAGATTCAGGAACTGAAGAAAGCAAAGTCCACGCTGGAGCAAGATGCATCAAAGAAGGAGCAGCAGCTGGGTGAGAAGACCAAAATGTTACAGGATCTTCAGAATGACAGGGTAAATGCCTCTGTCTTTTGAAATCTTCACACATACACATCCACCCCAGGCAGGCACCCTTTATGAATTTCTGTTAAACCTCTAAACAAGGGGTACTGTAAGGGCAGACCAATGGCAGTTGTACTGAACTTCTGGTGTGAAGGCTTTTAATGGACAGTTAAAGTGAATTTGGTTCTGTTAATTTGTTCTAAGTGACTAGAGAGGTAGAAAAATGCTATTAGTTTTAAATCTAGAGCTGCAAACATGCTTCTGATTGTTTGCACTAGGAACTGTGGATAGAGATGTGGCAGTTGTTTACCCTTAATTACAAAGCTTTCAAGTAGGTCTGGGGCCTTGACCGTTTTTGTTTGATTTTGTATGTTTGTGGGGTTTTTTATTTATTTTGTGAACCTGGAAGAAGTAACTTTTCTAGTACTTTTTGTTTTCAAGATTTTGAAAGAGAAAGACTTGGCTAATGAAAAATGTAAAACAACAGAGCTCCAGGAAATAAGGAGTAGACTTGAAAAAGAAAGTGTCAAGCTGGGCGAAGAGCTTAGAGCCTGCAAGCAAGAATTTGAGAAGGTATATTGAGACAAACTGAGTCTTCCTGTGGTTGGTTATCTGATAAGACATGTGTGCCTACTCAGTAGATGTTATCTGGAATGGCTTTGCAAAGATGGTTGCTGTAAATATCAGTATTACAGGTAAGGGGACCAAAACACAGATTTCACTGAGGTTCCTTATCAATTCTGACTTGATTAGTCATAATCTTAAACCACCAGTGCCCAGTGCTCTTGGGCAGATGGACCACATGACTTGTCTTAGCTTCAGAACGAATTGTGTGTCCTGACTTTCCTTCTGTTCCACTGTAGATTCACTTTGCATGCCCTTGCTTGACTATTCCAAAGGGCAAAAAAAGATGTCCAAAAGCGTCATGAATGTGAAGTTTCCCAGATATTCTAGGCACATCTGGTACTTCTTAAGGATGTGTGGTAGAGTTGAAACTCCCTTGATGTGCTGTGGTTTCTTAAAATGTCTTAAAAAGTCACAGTCGGGGAAGAAACAATGTCAGGAGCCTCATGAAAGACTAACTCTTCCAAAATCATGACAACCAAATGAGCTCTCTAAAGGGTAAAAGTTTGGAGGCTTTAATAAAATAAATTTTGGTCTTCAGTAAAACATACTATTTCTCGATATATTTGAGCTATTTAATTTTTTATTCCCTGTAGGAAAAAACCACTCCTAAAAGCCCACAGTGTGTTTTCCATATTATTCTATTAGTAGTTACATTTGCTTCTGTTAAACACGTAGTGTTTAAGTTGCTGCACAAGTATAAATGAAGGTGCAGTCCCTATATGCTAAGGAAAAGAAAGTAACCTGATTTCTTAAGAGTTGTAAAAATGTTCTTTTGTTCTCCAATGTTTAGAAAATGGTCTCTTAGGTTTAGATAGAAATCTGTACCTTGTTTCTGTCAAATACCCTATGCCCAGTACTTTCTTGAATTTAATTCTTCTAATTCCTAAAATCTCTATTCTGATGACAAAGATTTATACAGCTGCGTATAAAATGTGTGCACACCAACGGTAGCTTAGCATTAATCTCTTGATGTTCTTATAAGCTATCAGACTAAACAAGAAATTGTCTTCTAAAGCCTTATACTCTGTTTCCCATTTCCTACCAAGGAATGGATAGATGTGCGTCTGCAGGGCATCCCTCTGTCCTCTTGTTGTTTTCGGTTTGGCTTTAATTTGTGATGCAAATTTTGATTTATGGAAAACTGGCAACCGTTAGTCTGTTAGTACCCACATGCTTGGCTGAGTAATTATAAGGCAAATGATTCATATAAATTTAACTAACTGTTCTATTTCAGGATTTTTTATGTTTTATTATGGAAGAGCAAGTTAAACAAGTATTTGAAACATAGTGTATCATCCTACTTGCTTAAAACATAGAGTAATTATGTATAAATTTAAGACTAATAAAAACTAGCTGTCTTCCATCAGTGTTTTGTACATTGTCACTATGATGTTTTTAACCTCATCATTACAGCCAGAGAATGATATGAACCAAATTTTAGAACAGTCTCTAGAAAATTACAATGGACAAATCTTTTCAAAGAACTGTAGAAAATAATCCAGCAGAAATTCCACTATTTCAGAAGTGGAATATCAAATTTATTTTTAAAATTGAATGTTATTCATAATATAGGTGTAAGATGAGAGTCTTTGATCATGAAAATCACTAATACTTTGTGCTACGGTATTATCCTTTCTTCTACTAGCAAAACTAAAACTTATTACTGTTCTCTCCTTGGAAAGAATTACAGTAGTTTTGAATTTAAATCATTTACACTTTTGACATTGCTACTTTAACTTTGAGCTCCGTTTCCTAACAGGAGGTGGCAAATCTCAAGGATGCAAAACAGCTATTGATTCAACAAAAATTAGAGCTGCAGAACAAAATAGATAATGTCAATTCAGCTCTGGAACAGGAGAAGAAAGAGCACCAAGCTGTCAAAGATCAGTTGAAAAAGAGGGAAGAGGAGCTGAAGAAAGAATGTGCTGAAATTGAGGCTAAACTGGTGAGTATGTTAGAGCGTGTAAGACTGTTGTTTTGTGAACATGCCTTTGCAGTCTTTCAGGAACAGAGAGGAAGCAAAGAGTTGACTTTAGTTGCACATTCCATTAATTTTTAAATGATGAGGTTGGAAATCTCTGAGGCATTTAATGGTGTAGGAAAATCCAGTGGGATGACAGCCTTGTTCAGTAGAGGTTGTTGATTGAAAGTAGTGACAGTAAGATTCTTTGCCTCAATTAAAAGTAGGAAATAGGGAAATAATACTTGGAAGGTTGTTTTTCATTGTTCCATTGTTTTCTTAGCACACAGAGAAAAAAGAGAAAGAAGAAGAAAACCGGAAACGTGAGGAAAAGGAGACCAAGCTCACCATGCAGGTCACAGCCCTGAATGAAAACCTGGCTACCATGAAGAAGGAATGGCAAAGCAGCCAGAGGCGTGTGAGTGAGCTGGAGAAACAGACGGATGATTTGCGGGGGGACATTGCTGTCTTGGAAGCAACAGTGCAGAATAACCAGGATGAGAGACGAGCGTTGCTGGAGAGGTAAGCTGTGGTCGTGATGATATAGAAGCGCAATTTGGGAAACGGGCAGCCTCGCACTGAAAACTTGTTTTCACTCGATTCATGGTTCTCTATTTAAATCTGTGTTTGTTCCTGGGCTGTGGGTGCATTTTCCAGGGTGCAGCCTTCTGTGATCCTTGCCAGAGCACAGCGAGGGATGATGGAAACAAACTGTGCTCTTTTGTGGGCTTTGAGAGGGTGACCATTCAGGCAGGCTTATGAGGACCTTACTTATCACCAAACCACAGCTCTGTGCTTATGCTCAGATATTTATGTTCACCCATAAAAGCTTTCTAAATCCATTGGGCTCCTCTGAACTTTGAGGTGTGTAGGTTGTGGCTTCTCTTCTAGTCTGTTGTGTGAACCTTGCGAGGCCTGGCAGAGAGAGAGCTTCTGTTACCTTAGTTACCTGTCCTTTTCCATCACTCAGCCTGCCCTGCTTAGACTCAGAGTAGATGCAGTAGTCATCCAGAAGCCTGGAAGAGACTCCTTAGTGCCTCCAGTAACATAGAATTTGCTTAGGGACTTCTAGGTATGGCAACCACACAGTGTTAGGAGACTGAACGTGTAATTGAATTAGATAGGGTAAAGTTCACACAGGAGACATTGTCTTCCTCCTGAAGACTAACAGTCCTCTCCAGTTCTGCTATCATTTTTGAGCAGTAGACCTTGGGAAAAGTCAATTCAAATGAGATCTTCTTTCTTTGACAATTCCTTTCCCTGTGCTGAACTCACACAGTGGCCATTTACAGCTTGCCAGAAAAACACCCTTTGAAATTTGGCTCTCAACAGTTAACTGAATTTCTTCTAATGGGAGGTGACATTGCTAAAGAAAAAGGCTTCTTTTCTGCTCCCCTGTCTGACCTGATCTGCTGCAGCTGGTTTGTGAGAGTGTCCTCTTGCACAGGGGTACTTATCAGGGCTTGCTGTTGATGAAGTGCATTCAGTGCTGGTTTTGGGAGTAATTCCAGGTATTAATAGGATATTTGGGAGCAATGCCAGATAATCTTAAACTGATTGTTTCAACTGAACATTTTTCCAGTCAAGGCATCCAAGAACTTTTCACAGAAAGGGTAGTTTTGGCTGGATTTTATGAAACTTCTCAGAAATGACAAGCTACCCAAAGGAGGCAGTGTACATTGCTTTTGTTGTATGGTGCTTTGTGCTGAATGTTTACTGTTTTTCCTCAGGTGTTTAAAAAGTGAGGGAGAAATTGAAAAGCTTCAAGCCAAACTTGTAGAAATGAAGAAAAAGCTGGACAACACTACTGCTGCAATGCAGGAACTTGGCCGAGAAAACCAGTCATTACAGGTATAATTTAATTTGAACCAACTAAACCTGTTAATTCTCTGTGTGGGATCTTAAGAGAATTTAAAGTTTTGTGTCAGGTTGGTAGTGAGTTACCTTTCCAGGCTGATTAAGATGTTATGCTTGTGGTGTACGAGGGCCATATTGCTGTTTATGTGTTCTTAAATCTCCTTATGCTTTTGAAACTTGGAAGATTTTTCTCTCTGAACACAAATAAGCTCTTAGTGTCATGGCAGAACTGGTGCTTTTGTAATGCATTAGGTAGTGTGTGCAGTGAAAATAGATGAAATTAGTAGGAAATAGACATGTATTTTTAAAAAAGTTACCTTTTTTGTATTTTCCGTATAGATCAAACACACACAAGCTCTCAACAGGAAGTGGGCAGAAGACAATGAGGTACAGAATTGTATGGCCTGTGGAAAAGGCTTTTCGGTGACAGTGAGAAGGGTAGGTGTGTTTTATTGTATGTCTTTGGGGATTTTCTTCTTTTGTGGTTTTCAAACTCTAAGATGGGATGTAAACTTGAGGAAATGGCCTTAATAGTGCTGTGATACTCAGAAAATATCAGAATACATTTATTGTTTGCAGTGCCTTAAATATTAAAGTTAGTGGAGCTTACTTTTATTCATGATTCTTTTGCCATTCTAACAGCATCAGTTTATAACCAGTGTTAAAGTAGTTCAAACCCCTAAGTGAGCAAGCAGAATTACACTGCTGTAAGGGTATTTACTGTTAATTTATTTATAACCAGCCTGAACTAGATTAAGAGGTCTAAAAGGAATGTAAACTTGTTGAAATTAGATACCTATGAAAATATAAGGCATCAACATGATCCAGTGCTTAGTGACTAAATGCTAACCAGACATGGAACAGAAGACACAACTGGATGTGTTTTAGGTCTGTAGTCAGACCTTCTTTGTAAAAACAGCTGTGGGCAGCTAAGATGGTCACCCCTCAGTTGGCAGGGTCTGCCCTTCATCCAGAGATTACTAAGCCTGCAACAACTGACTTGGCAATGAAGTAGATGAGGAATATTCATAAGGTTCATTTTTGCAGTGCTTCCTGACTTGGTCCTAGGTGGCTCTCCCTGTCCTGCATTATTTCAGTGAGGTTCTTTTGGTAGTCTTAGAAGAAAGGCTGATGGATCCTTTGACACTTATCAGTGTGAGAAGCAGTGTGTGAGCAGGTAGTTTTATGTAAGAGGAATATGCTTTATGTGACCACAGCAAGTTCAAGAAAAGAAATTCAAGAGGATAAACTTCAGCCACTTCATTTCTGAAATTGGTATAGCCTCCTGACTCAGTGTAGTGCTTCTGAATATTATAATCCTATACCCTTTAGAAATTATTTGCACCAGTGCCCTTATGTGTGCTATGTAACTACTAAGAATTTCACACTAGATTCTGAAACATGAGAGTTGACTTGACACAGTAGTGATCGATGCCTTATGTTTATTTCTTCTCTTTCACAGCATCACTGTAGACAGTGTGGAAATATCTTCTGTGCCGAGTGCTCAGCAAAGAATGCCTTAACTCCTTCTTCCAAGAAGCCTGTCCGAGTCTGTGATACTTGCTTTAATGACTTGCAAGGATAACTGGCTATCGTGAGTGACAAAGAAATGTTACACTAAAATTCATAGTTTCTGTTGATGCACTTCACTCGGCACTCAGACTACTATTCAGTTTGGACAATGATTGTAACACTTCGCAAAATTTAGTATATTTTAAAATGTTTATTGATACCAAGTAAACTATTGTATTTTTTGTGAGACATGGGCTCAGATCATCCATAGCTTATTGCCATTTATCCTGGAAAGAGCTTCTATGTCTAGATTAGAAACACCCAGTTATTTGTAAATAAAATTTAAACAGAGGAGTAACAATGTATTTTTTTATCTTTTATTTTTTTGTTCAAGAGAAACAGCGTTTATGTGATACTGCGATTCTTGTTTCCTTCAAAGGAAAAGGAAGATGCAAAAACTTGTGAGGATTTTATGTATGAAATTGCTGTAAAAGCATAACTATTGTTGCATTTGATTGCGTATCTGATGTTCCTTATAACCCCTTGTGATTTTGTTTTCTTTCTGTCTCTCTGGTTCTTGGATGTTTCTTTCCAGTTTGAACTGCACAGTGAGGGTAACGGCTGGACTTGACTCCAACTCTGTTTTATTTGTAGTATAAGCACCTGGGTCCTTATCCAACTACAGCACTTGGATGTTGGAACATCTTTACACATAGTGTATTGCATAGTTTGTGTGTGTGTGCATCTGAGAGGATCTGTGAACAAATGATGAGACGAAGTTTAGGTGGCATTGTAGGAATATTGCATGATGTGTTACAATATTCCATCCCGTATTGATTGATTTTACTTTTACATATTTTGTTGATGGATTTTAACATTCCAGAAACCTTATATGTGGGTTTTAAAAAGCAAAAAATAACACTGGTAGTAGCCTATAACGCATCTCTCCCCCTGCCAATATCCTGGAAGCCCTGGGAGGTCCTCGTGCTTCTACAGGCTATCCAGAACTTCCACACTAGGCATCCTGCTAAGAAGTCTTTTGAGACTACTACAGTTTACCTGACATTTTGTTCTGTCCCTTCTCTCAACTTTTGGTGTAAGATACTAAACTCCTGCTAGACCTAACAAATCTCATTTTTTCCATTGCTCCACTTGATCCCCATTACCAAAGGGTCTTAAATGTATAATTAGTTATATAATTTAGTCTACTCAGAATGGTGGTGTGAATCTCTTGCTTAGTTAGAAGCCAAACAGCTCTAAATAAGAGGCCAGTATATATGTCTTTAGATATTTATTAATATTTTCTTTTCTGTACTTGCAAGAAAGGTTTCTTGTAGATTTCATGTAGGCTTCAAAGTTATTTTTTGTTGTGATTTTATTTATACCTGTTTGTTCTTGCTGCCTGTCTCCAACTTTTCTTCCCTTTGTATCTTGTATTTTGAAACCATTGAGGTTATTCCTTCTGAGCAGGGGTTATGCCTTCCAGTATTTAGGGACACTTTGTCTTAAATACCCTAACAAAATCCCCACACCCCAAGTTCTTCTGTGTCTTACAAAATTTTGCCAACTGTTCAGAGAAAAGGACTGGGTCCCGAGTTCCTCTACTTCTTGCCTGAGGTAAGGAATCAAATTCTGTCACAGTGATGGAAGCTTAGCCATTGTTAGGCAGGTTTGTTTGCTTTTATCTGGTGGCAGCTCAATATCTGAGTGAAGAAGAGCCTCTTATGAAAAATGTGTAGTCCTGATCAGCGCTCAAGTGAAAAAAACTTCATAATCTGTCTTCTCCAGAAGTAGTGATCTATATGTTTCATATCCCTTCTTAGCTTATCTGTCTAGTTCTACATTTGCAGCCTCAAGGAGTCTTCCTCAAGGAGTTTTCTTAAAATTAAATTATTTCCAGAAACCCAAATGAGTTATGTAACCAGTTCTCCTTGCTGTAAAAGGTTTTGGGATACAACTGTGATTTATGAGAAATACTGACCTGTTTTTCTGGTTCAAACTTGAGAATTGCTTGCTCCAAAGAAGCAATTGCGTGCTCATCAAAGAAGCATATGAGCAGAGCCTCTGGACTTCTATTTTTCCTTGTCAGTGTAACTGCTCGGCTAAGAATCTTCTGAACAGAAAAAGATATGAACAGAATCTCTGTCTCCGGGAATTTGTTTTTTTTCTACTTATTTATTTATTGGGAGAATTCAAAAGGTTTGTTTTCATGTGATTTCAGAAATGTGGGAAAGGTGAGATGTGACAGTCATGCTCCAGCCAAGATGCAGTCTGCCTGATTGCGTAGCACGTGGAGCTGCTCTCGGGGTGAAGGACAGGCACATGGAGCAGAAGGGCTTTTGAGAGGCAAGAGAGAAGCTTCCTGTGACCGCACATGCACACGGACATAATGCATGAGGCAGAGGAAGATGGAAATCTTTCAGAAGGAGCTGGGAAGAAAGAGCTGGTTGAAGAGGGAGCTGGTCAAAAGATGTGCTTCTGTTCAGGCATTTTGCTTCTGAATGGGAATATGTGAAATCTGAGGAGGCAGATTTGCAGTAAAGGAAGTGGTAGAAGCTGTGGTAGTATTGTTCTTAATTTAGTCTTTTGGGATGCCTTTGTGTAAAGACAGATGGAGTCATCTCACTCAGTTGGCTGCTGAGGCACTATTGTTGGTTGACTCAGATCAGGCCTTGGTCTTGAGCTCCTCAGCTCTGGGGGCAAAACCAGCTCGATTTCTGAAGGTTGCTTTTTGCTGACCAGTTTGTGACCAACATTTTGAGGGGGTGAAGATGCTTTTCAGATACACATTTGTAGAAACAGGGATTGTTAAAATCTGGAGGAACAGTGGTGGAATAGAAGCTTTCATGCTTGAGCTTTGAGTTTGCAGCAATAGGTCAGGATTTCTAGAGTTTTTCACTGCAGTAAATTTATGACTCCCTTGCTAAATCTTAAGCTCTTTCTTTCGTGCTTATGATTCTTAGTGCTGGTATTTGTTTGTTGATGAGTTGGCAGTATAATAAACTCTAGAATACTCTTGGCCTCACTGCTAGGTTGGAAGTTGTGCTCAATCTCAGTAAAATGACATGAGATACATAATAAGGGAAAAAGGAAGGTGAAAAGCTTTGTATTTATAAATCTGCTTGAAGACTGTTTTGATGGGTATGTTGTCAGTAGGAATGTGGGGGTTTTCTTGCATCGAATGAAAATATAAATAATAGGAAAACCTAGTGAAAGGCCTGTTAACTTTCACCAGGTTGAGTGAATTCATGAGGATTCCAGACATGAAATAGTTTAATGCACTGTTTTTTCAGGCTGCAAACACAGGAACAGAGTGGAAAACTAATAAAATGGCAGAAGAGGCTAGAGCTTTGGAATTAGAGGAGGCACAGTGATGTGTTTTAACAGCCTCCAGCAAGAACCAGATTGCTCTGATTTAATGAGGAGAGGCTATTGTAGAGGAAGAAGTGGAAATAATGGTACAAGGAACACTTGAACTGGTAGGTGTGTAGGAACCTCAAGCTACCTTTGATTACTAGCCATTACCATGGCATCAGGAATTGGACAGTGAAGTGTGGCATTTATTCCTGAAACTGTCCCCTCTGCAGGACACTCCATCCACATTCATAATCACTGAAGCAGCAGAGTATGAAAGACCAGCTGCTACCTGGGCTGAGACAACCTGCAGAGGCAATTGGAAAACTGAAAAGGACAGTATTGTTAAGGGTGGAGAGAGGTTCTTTAACTTCCTGGAGACTTCACCTCTCTTCCCAAAGAGCAACAATCCCTTGTGTTGTCACCTCCAAAATGCCAAGTCCTACTGTTCTACTCCAGCCTCATGTCAGCAACACATACTTCATACTTCCACACTGCAACCCCTCTGGAGGCAGGTAGCATTGCATAGGTCAGTGGCAGTCTTGTGATCTTAGCTGGCTGTGCTTCACTGTTATTTCTTCTCCCCATGCATTCCTTCCCTTCAGTCATCTTCCCCTTTCTGTGGAGGTTGAACAAAGAGGTTAAAATTAATGAATCACAGCAGGAAAAGTTGCTGTCTGGAGATGAAGAGGCAAAAGGAATTTTCTGCTGCAGCTTCCAACAGAGGAAAGAGGTTTAGAAGGATCTCATTTTTCATCTGGCTTCACTCTCTGGCGCAAGATTCCAAGGCTCTAGGGTACAGTGTGGGTTTTTCCCTCTGTTTTTAGAAGGTTTCAAGTAACTAAGTTGCCATGGAGTGTGGAGTGCTAGGTACACAAGAGCAATGAGTAACTATTTTTATTGGTTCGGGGGTGATTAGGATTATTTGTGAATCCTCGCTAGAAAAGCTTTCTTAGGAAAACAAGAAGGGATTTGGGAGCAGAAGCGTGAAGTAACCTTGCTTTGTTTGTCTTGCATTAGCAAGAACAATTGAGTCTCTCATGCTAGATGTAAGAGAAGTGACATTCTTAAAGAAGAGAAACTCACGTACTTTTCTGGATTATTAAATGTCAGTTAAATGTAAAGTGAGAACAACTGCTTGTTGCAAAACTTAAAAGATTTATAACCAGTACTCAGTGGCAGACAGAAAACTGCTGGAGCTTAAGTTCAAACAGAATATGAACTATGCCAAGAAGCACTGAAACTGATAAATTACTCCTCTAAGTACCACCCTTCGCACTCTGTTGGTTTTGGAGGACTAGGAAACAATGCTGTCATTTGCACTATGCACTTTTTGCTGTCTAACTGAATATAATCGACAGTAAGTGGAATTGCACAATTTGCGTTGCATGTGTTAGCTGTAATCAGTGGACAGAAGGTTTATCTTTAGCTGGAGTTTTCACTGCATTATATTTGGCCCCTTGCTACGTAAGGAGAATTGCACTCATAAGTCCTTTGTACCAATAATGTGATCATCATCTGAGAGCGCACGTAACAACAAAAACCATGTAGACACGCATATGTTGTCTTTGTAGAGCTTCTTTTTAATATAGAGTGAGAAAACGTGAATTTTATGTATTTTCAAGGGTCTTGCCAGTTGTCCAGTTCCTAAATTTTGAAGTCTTGACTTCAGCATTCAGTCTAAGATAAGTTTAAAATTATTGTCCAACCACAGTCTTTCCAAAACCACTAAATGGCATACTTTTCAAAACCAGCAATAATTGGATAGTAAAGTCCCACCACTGAAACTCATTTTTGCAGGTATTTTTTTGATTTTTATTTTTTTAGGAGACACTGAATAAAGAGGTTTACATCTTTAGAGAGAATATTAGATGCCACTTAAGATGACAATAATAAACAAGATAGGTACTAGTTAATGTAATAGAGTCCACCTTTTGCCTGTAGCTCACCAAATACTATGCACTCAGCGTGCAGCAGATAGAGGAATATCTGTTCATTTGAAGATTACTGAAGCCCTGCTAACCCTTTTGGTTCAACATTACTATGAAAGAAGAAAACTGGTAGGAGTGGGTCCCAATTTTTCCACCCCCTCATGACCAAAACTAGAAACAATTTCAAAGAAGGCCAGGAAAGAGAGTTCAGCAT